CGGCCCCCTCAAGAATTGAACTCACACCCCTGGGTTTAGCAGGCAAATGCTCAAACCACTGAGCTATCCCTCCCCCCCATGCTGAGGTTGCGTCTGCTTGCCAACTTATGCTGGTGACTTGGTTTCAAATGTCTGGGGAATTTAACTTCTCAGACTGCTTGTTTTAAAGGTTTCCTTGTTTGCCAGGAAAGATTGAAAATGTAACTCTGTTCTGATGCTTTCTCTCTCTCCCCCCCGCCCCTTTCTTGCACACACAGTTAGCAGCCTCTCTACCTTCTCTTTCCTTCTGCTCACTCAGGTACTTCATTCTTTCAGGTAGACTGGAGAGCAAAGATACTTGTCTGCACTCTGGTAAATGAGGCTGAGATGCTGAACACCCACTATCCCAGATAAAGTTAGGGGGTGAAGAGAGGCTCAGCAGCTCTGAAAATCAGGCCCTATGTGGCAAATGCATAAGGGAGTGATCTGAAGCCTGGTAGAAATATTCACACGAGAGGTTAGTGTCCTCATTCCTCCCTCCTGCCCAGAGTAACGCGTGGGAAGGTCAGCACGCGGCTCTCTGATGCTCGCATTCCAGGGATCTGAAAGCACAAGATGAACCTGCCATACAAGACTTGTAATGTCTTTCTAGCCAAATACAATGCAAGGGTTTTTTCCTGCTGATACCAGACTGGCAGGGATGGCTGAGAGGACACATGGAAAAGGATGGTCCAATGGTTAGGATGCCCACCTGGAACTTGAGTTCAGATCTTTGCTATGCCACAGACTGCTTGTGTGATCTTGGGCAAGTCACTTAGCCTCCCTGGGCCTCAGTTTCCCATCTGTAAAATGGGAATAGTGTCACAAAACAGGGCCACTGCACCTGTATTCCCCCTCTATGGTCCACCTAGGGCACTCATGCTCAGGCTTCTGGCTCTGTGCCATCACCTCTCAGGCGGAGACACACGCCTCTCTCCCTCCAGACCAGGGTTTTTCCAGGCTGCACAGTCCCCTGCCTACCCTGTGAATTCCCCAGCAAGTCAGACTGCCTCAGCAGGTCTGCTTTGCCTTCTCCTCGGAGGCTATAAACAGCATCATTGCCCACTGTATAAGTTACCACGCAGCCCTTTCTAAGCAAGTGCATCGATTGTTAAGGTGAAAACAGCACATAGAAAACATTACAAACAATGAAAGAACCCGCACACGTTCTGATAAGCTGAGAAGAGATCACCCCAACCCCAACAAGGGTTCTGGCAGGTGACCAGTCTTTCAGACCCCACCAGGGTTTTTTTCCTGTGGTCACAAGTTCATAACAGCTGTTAGCTCAGAACAAGTGCCCCCAAGAATAGGTCAAGTCCTTCCAACCTGTCCCAGAAAGGATTGGACAGAAGATGCTGTCTGTTTGCTGGATCCAGAAGCAGGCCTGGAGTCAGTTTAAACGTAGCTTATTGTTCCAAGAATCCTTTCGTTGTCCGGTGGTCTCTAGAGAATCCGGTTTGAATCAGTATATGTGAACCTCTCCGGGTGGTGGGACCTCTTGCAGGTGTTACAATCTGAGTGAATTTGCCTAATCACCTCCCACTGCACACACTGTTCTTAGTTCCTGGAGCGGCTATGGTGCCCCTCCCCCAGGGAAGTACATACAATCCCTGACCCACAACGATACATACACTTAATTCAATAATTTGCCATGTCTGTCACACACAGCACTTCCCTACCTCACAAAGAGGTTGGGAGGACAAACACATTAGAGTGTGAGGATCTCAGATACTATGTTAATGAGGGCTATATAAGTACCATAGATAGATGGCTGTGGTCCAGTGCTCTAGTAGCCCTGTTGTACTATATGTAACACCAACAGACCCCGGTCGTCGGTGGGATCGATCCTCAGGCCTCTGGAGCTCAGTGCATGAGTCTTTACTGCATGAGCTAAAAGCCAACTGGCAGTTAGCTAAGGCTGTAGAACAGACTCATTAATCTCTCTCTAAGTGGTCTCGGTGCCACTAGATAGGACAGAACACCACACCTAGCAGGTGTGTGGGCTACATATCTCCAAAAATACTCTAGTGACTAGCCCTCTGTCTTGTTGGGATTGAGAGTCCCATGACCTGTAATCCTTTGTATCTACATTATAGTGCAGTGAAGCCAATGTGAGTATAAGATGGCCCCAAAAGAAGGAAAGTATCAGGGGGTAGCCATGTTAGTCTGTATCCCCAGAAACAACGAGGAGTCCGGTGGCACCTTAAAGACTAACAGGTTTATTTGGGCATAAGCTTTTGTGGGTAAAAAACCTCACTTCTTTAGATGCAAAAAGAAGGAAGGACAGTAGCCTAGGGAGTGCTGCGTGAGTTGAGTATCACAAGGGAGACCTTACTGGCAGGGCCGGCTCTGGCTTTCTGGCCGCCCGAAGCGAAAAAAAGACAAAAACTGCGGCGGCCAGAACAGCAAAGCAAACAAAAAAAAAACCTGCGGCGCGGCCGGAGTCAGGGTGCAGGGGGACTCCCTGCCCTGCAGATGTGCCCCGGCTAGCGGAGGGAGCGGGGGGAGAGAGAGAAGGGGGGGCGGCCAGGGCTTCAGCGGGGTGCTGCCACGTGGCCCCTCCCATCGTGCCCCCAGCGTTGGCTGGGAGGGAAGGACGCGGGCTGCTCTGCCGGGCTTGCTTCAGGGCGCTCCCATCCTCCGCGCCGCTGCCCCCTACAGGGCGGCCAGAGCGGAACAACAACAAAAACCGCCAAGCCGCCCTAGGATTGGGCGGAATGCCGCCTCCTACAAGCTGCCGCCCAAGCACCAGCTTGCTCGGCTGGTGCCTGGAGCCGGCCCTGCTTACTGGTGACTGTCTGTCTCCCAGCTGTTGCTGATCCTCGTCTTTTCTTTTACAGTGCCCTGCACATAAATGTGGCCCCCGTCACACAGATCGCAACCAACAGCTACATCCAAGGGGCCACCGCTATTCCACTGCTCACCAAAACTGTGGGTCAGTGCCTGGAGGAGACAGCCCATCGGTTTCCAGACCGCGAGGCCCTAGTGTTCTGTCGAGATGGGGTTCGGAAAACGTTTGCCCAATTCGTACAAGAAGTGAGTGGCCGACTTGCCGGGTACAGAGTCCAGTCCTTTAGCTCCCCACCCTTGAGAATTTGCAATGCAGCTGAATCACAGTATGAGTGGGTGGCTTGATCAATCGATTGGAGAAATGGAAAAAAGTGATTTCGTCCCTGGATTGAAAACAGAGGTTGGGCTTGTTTGGTTTGGATTCTGATCCTGGCTCTGAATACATAGCAAAGCTGCATGCTGATTTATCATCTGATGTTGTGTGATAAGGTGGGTGGGTGCATACTTGCCCTGTCTTCATGGGCTGCTCTGTAAGGCCTGAGAGCAAAGGGACAGGGTAGTGCGCAGAGGAAGTACTCATGCGTAATGCAGTAAATGCACGTCCTAGCTTGCATTACTGCACTTAGGAAGTGGTTCTCTCTCTATCTGATTTATCTTGGGGCAAGTCCTGAAGTCTAATCCAAATCCCATTGGCATCAGTGTAACTTGATTTTCAGAGGTACTAAGCACCTGTAGCTGCCTAG